TTTATTTCAGACTGTAATTTTGACACGCTTACTCAGAAACTTCTGCAATGTGCAGGTGTCGAAGTCTGACCCAAAGGTCATCGCTTTCGTTCAGCTGTGCCTCCTTCATCAAACCGTCTTTATTGCGGAACCTGGACGTCCAATGAAAGTCAAGCAGATCAAGGTCAATGCGAAGAGCACAGCTCTACAGGTAATACTGCAAGCCTGCTTCTGCTCTCCGAACATGTTTCAGAGACTGGATAAATTTAAAGGATAGGTTTTGGGATTAATAGACCAACTGGACGGACTTGTATGTGTCATTCTCCAATGGGATGAGGTCGTAGGCCATGGCTTGGTATGTGAGCTCATGCAGGACTGGAGTGACTGGATCAAATCCTCTTTCCACTATGAGCAGCTGGGCCGGCGTTTTCCCCTGTGGTGCAATATGAGAATGAAATGTAAAATAAATAAAAAAAAGCCATTATAAACATCACAGAGATCATCGAAAAACCCTGTTAAGGCCACAAGTTACCTTTTTCTGTCTGTTCCCACTTTCCCTCTCATAATGCTGCGCAAGTCTGCTGTCTACCAGCTCAGCCAGCTTCTTTGCATTATCTACCTTCAAGTCCCTAAAATGAAAACATTTAAAAATACATAATAGGAAATTAAAAAGATGCACTGACCCTCATCCATTCATTTATCCATCCATCTTCCAACCACTTATCCTGAGCAGAGCAGTACAGGGAACAAGGCAGAGCTACATTTAGGACAGGGTGGAAATCCATCGCAATGCATGCACACACGCATGCACACGCATGCACACACACACACGTACACAATCACCTGACTGTAAAACAAAATGAAATGCATATGATTACTATAACGTGCAGTTCTATGTTTTTGCAGTGAGGAAAACAAATGAACCCTGGAGTAACATGTGATGGGTCTTTTACTTCTTGTATCGGATTCCAGGATACTCCTCCAGTGCAGCGCAGAGCGCGACTATCTGATCTGCCACCGCTTCCAGCGTCCGGACTTTGTCTTGGCTGTGCGGATTGTAGATGTGCTGGAAGGTGCCAGGATTGTCACAGGTGAAGGCCTAAAAAAACGGGGGCACCAAACGAGAGCAGGGACGACACTAAACACCTGCGAGCACTTTAATTACTCACACTCTTTCCAAATGCCAGTATGCCACACACAACAGGACTATACACTGCAGATGGGAGAAATGGGCGGGGTTAGCATATGATGTCAATCACTGCACAATTTCAACAAAAGGGAACCATTACAGTAACCAACCAGTCATGGGGTGGACAATGTATAATAATCCCACCCCCAGTGGGCTTTGCAGCTTCAGTTGTCCCAAACATAAACAGTAATAATCCTGAAAAACAGTCATGTTTAACAATGATGAAACAAAGCCCCTTAACCTGTGAAAAATACAAATCCGTGTGTGTAAAGTATTCAGAATATAAACTAAAGAAGGCATTTTGCTTTCATGTAGGGAAGCAATTTTCATTCTATAACTCAAAATCTCGAGCAAACATCATCATTTCACAGTTGCAAATAATAATGGGGAAAAATAATTTCAAAATTAAAATGCGTATAAGGGAGCCATTCATCCATCCATCCATCCATCCATCATCTATACCGGTTCATTCATCTGGGTCGCGGGGTAGCTGGAGCCGTATAAGGGAGCTTCTTATGCAAATACAACAACATAAGCCACTATAGGATATTTGCTTTGATCAGAAGAAGCAAAGAGTGAAGATATCATGTTTGAGAAAATTAACATTCGATTAACACTTCATTCGGGGTGATTTTTAATAAACTGTAAAACTTACTTGAGACTCTTGGGGCAAAAATGAGAGGTTTAGCTCCTTACAGACTCGTATAAATTTTGCACAGTGCAACTTCATTTTGTCAAAAACTGGATCAGGGCAATCTGAAAGCGTAAGGGTGCAATTATCACCAAACACATCTGGCTGACGCATATTTGTGAAATATATCTCATGCACTGAAAGCACTGCCAATTAGTGGACTGTTTGCAGCTTTCAGTAGTGCATGATGGTTTTGAATATCATCTCACTGACAATAAAAACACAAGCAATTCACTCTTTTCAAATACTTCCTTTAGGGCTCTTTTCACCAGTAACAGTATCTGTATAACAATCTTTGGAAAACTACTTCCTGCTCACACTGTCCTTCCAGCAAAATACTCACAGTCGGTGAAATACACGTATGCAGATTTATATTTGGGTTTGGGCGTGAAGTCGTCGATTAACACATCAATACACTGGAAGAGAAAATTATAAACACAAACCAGTCATTTTTACTGCAGTAAATTCATCAATAAATTCACAAAAAATTCTTGAAACCATTATTTGTAGCTGAACTTTCACTTCCTTAAACCCAAAGGGAATACAAAATGTCTGCATAATTAATAAGGAACAAACCTTCTCATTTGGAGAAATGAAGTATATGGCTTTCATTTCTGGAACTGGTTCCCGGCTTTTATAGAGATCTTCAACAACTGTGAATGAGACACTTTAATTGACTGATTGGGGTTAATGACACAAGCATGTCACCTTTATAACTTAAAACCCAATATTCAGTTTTGGATGAAAAATAATCCCAAAACTGAGACCTGCATTTACTTACAACACAGATACATGTTATAGGTGCTACAACGACTGAGAATTTTGTGTTGTGTACCTACCCCCACAATACATTATTTGTTAACATGGGATCTTTATTTCAGTTTTAAGCGTTTCGTTCCTGATTTCGTAATCGTACTGTCCTCTCCATGCTTTGCAGCTTTCACATACTGACTTTGGCATGTTTTACATGCATATTCTGATGCATTGTGTCTATGTGTGCACCCCAGCCTAAAACCTGGGCTAGGCTTCAGGCACCCCCATGATCCTGATCAGGAGAAGCAGTTACATGGATGGATGGATGGATGGATGGATGCAGAGATGGATGGATGGATAATAAGAATAATCGATACTTTATTGACCCCTGTGGGGAAATTGTCTTTATGCCTCCCCCAACATGCTCTTTTTTTTTTTTTTGGTAGAGTAAGTTGTCTGCGATGGATGGATGGATGCAGAGATGGATGGATGGATTTTGATTTACTGTAACTCACTAGTAATGCCTTCCGACATCAGGTCAGACATATTGCAACATGAGGACAGCAGCTTGGTGGTGAAGTGGTCCAGAATCAGCACCTGAAATGACACAGAAAATACCACTGGGTCATTTGGCTTGTTTACAACCAGGTGTAGTTATAGACTATCACTAAGAGGATAAAGAAAAGAAAGAAGATATTTAGTATTTGTGTATATCAGCTTAAAAACAAAATGAGAAATACCTTTCAAAATAACAGAACCAACAGACATACACGTCTGTACTATCTTACTGTTTTATTTTATTTATGTACGTTTGGTCTCTGGATTTTTATCATATTTTTTACAATGTGTTTGAGCTACTGGATTGGACATTTGAATTTCCCTGAGAGTATGAATACATGAATAAACTATCTTTAAAAAACTGTTAAGTCAATTCTAACTGGAAAATATAAATCTATATGGAAATGTCAAACACAATGTTTAGCAACAGAATGTAATATTTTGACACTTGCACGGATCCCACCTTCCATATTTCTGACTTTTGACAATCTGTTATAATGCTGTCTTGGATTCCTGTAAAGACAAAACAGCTCTCATTAATAAAAATAAAAAAGTTTTCCCTGATTGTAATTGCCTACACTCATAAACATTAATTGAAAGCTAATTGTATAAGTATATATTATACAAACACTCATACATTCTTACATACACGCAAACATCTCTACACCGCTCCGGTGTAACTGGCGCTTTGCCAGCAGTCCGCGGCGGCTCGCGATACACCAGTGCCTGTCATAGCTGCGCTAGCGGCGTAGTGTGAACTAGCCGGCTTAAAAGTTGTTCAACTACCAGATCCACAAAGCAATCCAAATTTTAAAAAATCCAGAATGGTAAGTTAAGTCATGCATTTGTGACCCCGACTCACTCTCTCTTGCAAAAAAAAAAAAAACAATATTAGGAATTTTCCAATAACTTGTTTACTTACAGCAACAATAAGAGCTGCGTTACAAAATGCCGTTTATCAATGCATCAATGAATCAATGAGTTACGGCCGCTGAGTTCGCGATCGCAAAAAGGTCATTTCCAAACTTCCCGTCCGTTGGCGGTGCGGGGAACCTGCCCCAGACGCACCGAGCGCAACGCCGCCGGCCGCTCAGTGCGAACACGCGCCGGGGGGGTCTCCATTTTACCACTGACAGCCCGGTCACGCCGCGTCTAAACTACGTCCGGGAGCCTGGGAAGAGCGACAGTCACCCGAACTTACTCTGCCAGACGACCCTCTGCAGCCCCCGGTTCGCTTCCGCTGCCATTTTACTTTCTTTTCCTCTATCAGGCTTTTAAAAGCCCCGGAGCTCCGTGAATGCGTGGCGCGCCCCCGGGGAGCTCTGACATCACGCGGGCACGAGCGCCGACACCGGGATGCTGCACCGGCGGCGACCTGCTGGAGATTAAACAGACAGCAAATAAAACCAAGTACCTAAGTATCCATAAGCTGTTTTAAAACCAGTCACAGCGCATAACATCCAGTTTCTTTACACATGCGTGCTAATAGAAAATATAGGCTAGACTAAATATTTTTTAATTTGCACAACACAATATTGATATGTCATACGTCATATAAATGTTTCACATACTTTCCTTTAATATTTTGGTATATAAAACATAAATGGACGTATAACATATATTATAATAATATTTAATATAAATTCTCATGTAGTATGTATACCTGCGTCCGCAGACGATGCCCGCCGGGCGGACGGGCGCAGACAGACGCACCTGTCCGCAGGTAAGGCGCCCCGGACGGACGCTGATAGGCGCTGCGCTGTCGGGAGGAGGGGTCACATTTAAGCAATCTCGGCTAAAGCCGTATCGACGATAGACCGGTGCAGTAAACGGAAAGAAAATAAGATTAACGGGGTGCCGCGTTTATTAACAAATTGGAAAAAAGTATAAGACCAGAATTAACAGTCAATTAATGTCAAGACCTTTGGACTTTTGGGGGAAAGCAAATACTGAAGGCATGAGATCTATGGGTTTAAAGTCGCTTATTGTTGTTTTATTTGGCATGGTTTCCCAGGTAAGATTATTCTCTGTAAAATAATTTAAATGTGACTAAATGATACTCCGTGGTGCATGCAGTCGGTAATGCGTCTCTGCGTCTCATCCCAACTGAAAACAGTTGGGATGAGACGGTATTTCAATGGGATCGCTATATCTTCGTAGGTTAAAAATGAATTATTAAATAGAACATGGGAGTTTTCTTAACAAGTGCACGATGATCCAGTTGACAGGTAAATCAAAGAAAAATGTCAGACATGACAAAAACGGGTTTTCTTTTTCATTCGTAATAACTGCTAGAAAGGTTGTATGTATTAATATTTTATTTAACATTTTAGATATTCGAAATTTAAAAAGTAATTTTTGTGTTTTATTCACAGATAGCTGCTCAAAATGGTAAGTTCTGATTTTTGAAGGAGAACATTGGGCTAATTAAAATAACTATATATAATAGAATGCAATATAAATGCAATATAAATGTATACAATAAATATCTTTCGATTTGATTTATTCGTGGTTATGTGTGCGGTCAATTGTGAAAGACAGTGGAAAGTCCCAAACCTTTTTAATTGTAACACGATAACATGTGATTACACTGTGTAGGAATTCAGATGTAATTGTGTAATTAAATGTGAGCATTACTTTTTTACAGGAATGGTCATGTCTGTGTACACGGTAACGTCAAAAAGTGTGTCGGTCCAGTGGAATAAGGTCCCTGGAGCCAGTTCATACAAGGTGAAGGCTACCCCGAAAGGTTCCCTGGAATCGTCGTCTTACTCACAGTTTGGCGGAAACTTTGTGGTGGGCTCCGTCAACTCCCTCAAGCCAAACACCATCTACATAGTGGAGGTCGAGGCTGTCGACGGCACTTCTAATCTCCTGGGCCGAGCTACGATCGAACAGATCACAGGTAATTTCTCAAGTGAACCTACTACATATTTGCCAATATGCATAAACATGACTAGAATTCATTTTTTATTTATAAAAATAGCAATTGTAAGAGCCCCACATAAATAAAATAATAATAGGAGTAATAACCGTAAACAAATGCTTTAAACAGGGATTTTATTTGTAATTATTTGCAAACAATCACTTGTAAATTATTCACAAATAAAATTTGACGTAATAATGGGTTGCCACACTCTCTCGTCAAGCACCTAAGGGTGACTCTGTTATGAAAGGTGCTATGCAAAAATAAATTGAATTGAAATGCTGTAAATATAAATGATGTGTGATCCGTTACAGCCCCGGATGTGCCTGGCATTTCCAAGGCCTACTCAAAGCTCAGCAACAGCATTACAGTGGAATTCAATGCAGTCCAAGGGGCCAGCTCTTACATTCTTCGGGCTGAGTCGGAATCAGCCAATTTCTTCTCCGAGACCCAGGTGTCAAGTTCCCCAGGGACTGTGCTCAACCTTCAACCCTGCACTGAATACATGCTCAGTGTTATATCCGTCAACAGCGGCGGAAGAAGCCAGCCGTCTCTGCCCCAGAAAGCAAAGACAGGTATTGTCTTCAACCACTACAGTTGTACGTTTCAAAGAAAGTCGGCTCAATAATACAACAACATGATTGTTCTCTGGGATTTTGTTTACTTCACTCAGCGGTTGGGAGTCCTGGTCCTTCGGAGACTGCAGTATCCGCTGGTTTTCAGTCTTCTCTGGGGTCGTAGTTACTTTTGTGAAGCTAAATTAATTAAGTGAAACTATTAGGGTAGAATGGAAGTTCACCTGGTGCTCCAGATGGGTGGCCCAGAAAGGTGGGCTTCAGTAAGAGAAGCTTCCATGCTCATGGCCAAAGTGATCGGTCACATTTGTTGTCATGGGATTTTAATTCCCTACAAGTCCTTTTGATATTTTAGGAACTTTATGGATTAATGGACTTCAAATACAGTTAAATATTCAACCATAAGAACTACATTTGTAGTTCCCAGAGTTATCAAGGTGAGTAACAGGAGAGGGTTCACTGGTATAACTGTATACCAATAACCGTATACTAGTAACCGTATACCAGATCAGACTGGCTAAACTAGACATCATATGATTATCTTTCCTACAGTCGTGTTCTTTGGTGTCATGCAAACTATATTAAAAATATTATAACCCGTAGGACACAGTCGTCATGTATGCTAAGAGGCCTTGGTTAGTTGGTTAGGATTTCTGGGTTTGAGACTGTGTCTTGATGCCCCTTTCTCGCCGGGATGCTAAGCTGCAGTGAAATGTCTGCAAGGTAACCTAGCATTGACTTGCAGAGTGGCAGTACTGGTGCTGGCAGCTACTGAAAGTCGGAGCTGTTAGAAGACAGTAAAATAGCAGTTGTCATCCTTCATTTACAGTGCAACACTACTGTTGGTAAGGGAAAGGAATTAGGAAAAAATGAGGCACAAAGCAAGTCTCTATCTCAAGTATTTTTTGCAAGGGTGCATGGAGAAGTGCAGGATGAAAGTGAATCTGAATGCAGGTCTGAAGGTCATCTTCTTAGACTTCTTTCTTTATTCTAGTCACACATAGAGTTTTATTTTTTCATTCCTCCCATGCAGCGTTTGGGATCAATGTCTTCCATTGGACAGAACATTTCCACCCTACGGTGGTATTTCCACAGTTCTGCTGTTATTGGTTCACAAACTTCATGGTCCTTGTTTCTCAGACGTTTATGGCTGACGATAATGCTATGGCCTCTTTCACATGGCTTTATCTCACCTTCGCATGCTTTCCTTCCACAATTGTTGATCATGATTGAGTTCCCACACACTTGGCTGTACCTCTCCATAGTTTATGATTGCACAGATGGGAGAAGTGATTATTTCCAGTTTAACCACTGCGACTGTCTCATGCAATGTCCTGTCTTTTGCAGTGGTGGCAGCACCACAGCTTATTGCAGCCTCACCCAACAGCAGCACCATCCAGCTGTACTGGGCTCCAGTGACGAAGGCAGTGTTCTATGCACTGGACATCATCATGGAGGGCTCCGGCATCCGTATCAGGCTCAACACCACCAAGCTATCCGTGACCATACCCAATCTGCAGGCTGGCACCACCTACTGCACCAAAGGAAATGCCTTTGATGTGGACAACATCCCTGGCGATGACATCACCGTTTGCCAAATCACTCGTAAGGAATCTACAGGGTCCACTGCACTGAAGAACACTAACGTTACAAAGTAACATATTCTCTAACAGACATGGTATATTCCTTACCTTTGGGAGTGTTGCAAGGTCAATTAAAAGTACAGTACTGTGCAAAAGTCTTAGGCAGTCAAAGAAAATGTTTAAGGCTGTTTATCTATGGAAGTATACATTTGCTCCGAACACAAAACACGCAATCTAACCTTTAAACATATATAAATTAACAGCAGCTATAAAAAATAAACAAGAATTTCTTCTGTTCTCCAAAGAGTTACTGATATCTTGCTGAATAGTTAGATGAACACCTTTACTCAGCGGCACTCCACCAGTAATTAATTAATTATTGTAATTAGATAAATAACTCAATAAGGTATTGATTAGCCAAACAAGGTGGAGTAGTGATTGAGTAAAGAAAAAACATTGGTGTATCGGACGGTTGCTGCAAATACTGAGTGACTTTAGGAGAGGTTTGGAAATCGCTATGCTGACATAGTTTGACAGATATAATATCATAGTTTGACTCCAAAAAGACGATCATTTAAACATCATTTTCTTTAACTGCCTAAGACTTTATCTTTATTGTCATCTCAGCTTAATGATGCAAAGGTCATATGCTGATAGGAAGTATCATTTCTCATTGATCATAATGCAAAAAAGTAAAATAGAATGTGAAGATGTGAGAAACACACACTTAAGACAATAAAATACAGACTTGGGAATAAGATACAAGACAAAAATATATAGATAAACTTCTATTCCTGATATGTATTGCTGCTCCTGATAGATCATGGCCTTCAAGCTTCTACTGTTCTACTCACTTGTTGTCTGCCTGCATAGGTCCCTCTCCCCCACTGATTTCGCAGATCAAGCCGAGCTCATGTAGCCCCCAGGGGTTAGTGGTGAATTTCGAGAATGTGCAGGGAGCAGACCGCTACCTAGGTCTGAGCTCCACTGGCAACAACTGCACCTCCACTGGCAGCCAGTGCATCTTAAGCCCAGTCAGCTGTGGTCAGAACCAATCCATCACCATCACAGCTATAAACCAGGCTGGCCCCAGCAGCCCCTCGAAGTCCATGAACTTCATCACGTGTAAGTACCTGGTACCTCCATTTCACCCAAGACAGGCTTCCTGCTTTGTCACTGTTATGTTCTTGTACTTTCTATCAGAGCCTATTGTCACATTACAGACGGGTCCAGATTTACGGCTGGGCTCCATTCTGACAGCCAGGTCATATGTTGAAATGGGCGTATGTTGGATTGGGATAATCGCACTGACTTTTAGGTGTGAGAATGAGGCTGGGAGATGCGCGTGAGGCTGGGATGGTCACACTGCCGTACAGTGCAGTACCTTCCAGAAGCAGCTGTCGTATGGCGTGCAGCACGAGCTAGGAAGTGTGGCGCAGTTGGGCGTATGGCCTCCCGAAATTTATTTTCACATTTACTTAATTAAAACAAAAGAAACTTTACACATAAGGGCGAAAGTCATAAGTTTCATCGGTTCTAACTCTGGGACAATGTGTCGGTTTTTACTGCTCTTTTTTCCATGAGTTTAGTATTATTTATTTACGTATCATGTTTTGTGTCATTTATATGCGGCAAAAAGCACGACAGGACACAGCATGTGATTACAGCAGAACCTGCCATAATCTATGAATGAGGCTGATGAGAGGATGCTGATTCTCTCCCTGCCAGTCCCCTGCTCTCCACAGACTCTCTGGGTGGAGGAGTCGGTCCCGGGCAGCTGCACGCTACACTGGGGCGCAGTGACCTGGGTGGAATACTACATGGCCTTCATCAAGAGGGACGATGGAACCGAGGAGTTCTGCAATACCACCAGAACCACATGCAGCTATACCTGCCAGTGCAGCTTCACTTACTTCATGAACGTCTTTGCTTACAACCGAGCTGGTCCTAGTCCCCCAGGCCAGGTGCTCAACTACACAACCTGTAAGTGACAGCAAATGTGGCACCCACACAGTTTTGTGGATTATGAGAGAGATCATATATTGCTTATAAACTCTTCAACAAATACTGGTTTTATTCTAGTCCTCCTGACCGATTACAAGTTGGCATTGTTCCGTTAACCAAGAGGAGCAGTTTACATCTTGGTAAATTTGTACTGTTTTACTGGTGAAATTATATTTCTTTCTGCTATCCCAAACACATCCTGTTTGGATGAATTGCTGACTATAATTTGCCCTTAGTGTGTGACTGTGTCTGGCTCTGGATCACTGTCAACCCGTAAATAATTTAACGTGGCTGGATTGAGTTTCTATTTGACACATTAATGGACGTTCATGAAGGTAACAAGGGGCTGGAAAGCTGGGAAACATGTGAGATGTGAAATGAGGGAAAATGTTTGCCGAATGTCCTGCTCTTTACAAACCAATCAAATCGGATGGGAGGAGGTTACTACCCACAGCCTGTGTGTTCCTGCAGTTCCCTGCTGCCCCAAGAATGTGTCCGTATCACTGGTTTCCCCCGAAACCCTGGCGATCACGTGGGCACCCGTCCGTGGGGCTGAGGTGTACGAGACCAGGGCCGTCGGCAGTTCAGACCTTATTCTATGCAATGACACGTCACCAGTGTGTGCACTGTCGGACCTCAGGTGCAACACCAAGTACAGCATTGTGGTCTGTCCATGTAGCGAACGTGGCTGTAACAACAACTGCAGTGCAACAACTAAGGAGACAGGTAAAGCACTGAACTTTTAGGTAGTGCAGTGAAATATTGCATGGCATACATGCAAGATATGTAATATGTGCAATATAATATAATGTAATATGTGGTTATTATATGAGTTGATGTATTGTATATACCAATAATCCTCAGTATTGAGGACTTCCCATAAACATAAGTAGGAGTCACTGAATGATTCTGCGTTTTTTAGTATGTTAGTATTCTGCATATACTAGTATGTTCTTCACTGTTTTTTTCATCCTCTCCACCTGAGCTCCCTGCCAACCCATAATCACAAGAATCCAGCAGCTTGACCCATTCTTGGTGAGTGTGTCTTGGACAGCCAGTAACACGGGCGCCATGTACACGGCTAATCTGTTGGAAAAGAGAGGGTCTCATACGTGCAGCTCCACGGGGACATTCTGTGAAGTCACCAACTTGCCCTGTGGCACCATGTTTGACGTCAGTGTCATTGCAAGTACTTCAGCGGGGTCCAGTTTTCCCAGTTTCACAGTGCCCCTGGAGACAGGTATGGGCTGGGGGGGTGACAAGTCCAGAGAAAGGGGCACAGTTAAGATCCAATGTGTCATTACTCTATTTTACATTTGCACACCCTAAACACAGCTTTCTGTATGCTTACGTTGAAGTTGTAAGATGAGCCATATCAGTCTTGAAATGACTCTCCCTTTAGTTCCCTGCTGCCCGGAAAGTTTCACTGTGACGCAGGTGACTCAGGCCATGACAAATGTCACCTGGTCACCAGCCACTGGCGCGAAGACTTACATCACCACGCTGACCTCGCCCCGTGGAAATGCCAAGTGCCACACACTGAGTACCAGCTGCCTGATGGGATGTATCACCTGTGGCACTAACTACACTGTTTCCATGGAGATCCTCAGTAGCACGGGGCACAAATCGTTGTGTACCTATCACGGTTTCTCTTCCAGTGAGTTCAGAACCCACGTTAGATTTCTGCACTAGAAATCAAGGCAAAATTGTGGCTCTGTGGTTCGTACTGTTTGTCTAACACTTACAAGGTTGTGCTTTCAATTCCACCCAACAGCTATGTAGGTGTGGAGTTTGTATGTTCTCTGATTTCTTCCTTTGATCCATAGAAATGATGATTAGCTGAAATATTGCCTCTAAACTACTCATCCAGGGTGTCCCCTTCCATGCGTCCAGTGTTTCAGTCTCTCTCTGACGCTAAACAGAGTAAAAAGCTATTGATGGATGTTATGGGCAGATACATCAGACCCATGATCATGCATAGCGGTCATGTCATAATGCTTAAACAGTACCAAGATCAGGCCAAGCATTCTGGGACAAGCTAAGAGCCAAATTGATCGAATTTCTGCTGCAGCTGAAGTAACTGCAGTGTTCTATTCTCGTCTTCGTTAGCCACCTGCTGCCCCTGGAGTGTCAAGCTCTACCGGATGACCAATAACATCATCAGGGTGTTCTGGCACTCCTCCAGCTCCCAGAGCACGTACATAGCTGACCTGTACGGCAGCGTCTCCAACTACACCTGTACCCCTCAGGCCGGCGCTAACTTCTGCGATGTGTCTGAGATCATGTGTGGTGACGTTTACACAGTGGTCGTGGCCCCTCTGTCACAAGGATCCAAGATCAAATTTTGCTCCCAAAGGATGTATTCAGGTAAATATCATCTTTTAAAAAAGTTAATATTAATTATTATATCACTGCTTTCCCATCTTTTGAATTATAATCAGCCTTGAGGGGTCTAAAGATGACCTGCTCATTTGTATTTAACTGTACCATCTTTGAAAAAGAGAATCACTGCTTAAACAACTGCCTTGTTCTTCTATTATTTCAGTATCCTGTTCTGGAAGTAATGTAGGAATGGGTATGTATAAAAGTGATAGATAATATGTTTACATCTGGAGAAATGTAAAATAAAGAGTACACCTATACTCCACTTATCAGGTTGTAACTGAATCCTAGAAACCACTCATATTCCGTGATTATTCTCATTATTTCTTATGGGGAAAACTATAAATTGCTCCCAGTTCCCCAACTGATCCCCCAGCACTCAAAAATACCCAATTAAGCATGATAAAGAACAATTGAAACACCATTTGTCTAATTACGAAAAAAATCATACAGTATAAATATGAATTTGTGTGTTTATATACAGACTTTTTGTAGTGCTATACATTACATTTTGTAGTGATACAAGGGATATTTAATAGTCTATTTTATGTAAAAAATGTGAATTAAATGTAATATGAAAGAGAAAAAAAATACAATTTACATAATGTGTTTTACCTGGATTTTTATTTGCGTGAATTTCAATTTTTTTCTCTGATGGTTTTGCTGTTTTCACTGAGATGCTCGATATGTATTAATATATATGGTAAGGAAAAAATTAGAATAATGGGGTATAGGTGTATAATATAATGGTTTAGATTAATTAGTCTAGTGTTCTGTATCTTTCCCTGTGAATTCTTTCATTTGCACATTTTGAATTTAATCATGTTCTTTTTTCAGTAATTTATCGTGGGAAGAGAAGTTTGGATTAGCATATGGTATGTATATTATGTATCTGAGGCACTTAAACAAAACACACCCTGATGTCTTATGAACTATTATATATGAAATATATATATAAAAAAAGTTTAATTTATGGCATAATTGTATTTGTGATATCCACCATGCTGCCTTTTTATATTTAGTTTTGGGAAATATATGTAACCATTTTCCGAGCAAGTACTAGCAGACAATTGAGAATGGTTATAGTATAATAATATGAATCGCATTTAAAAGTGCTTTATTTCTGTCCTGGAATTCTGCAGAATCTTCACATCACTATTGTTGCATTTTTTAAAGCATCTTTTAGAAAAAGCCAAAAATAATCATGTGACTTTATGCACAGCACAAATCAGAAATGGAGTGTGATCATAATCATTCATGATTTATATGTGTGCTCTGCTCTTTCATTATTTAGAGCTCAGTAACCTTTTTAAGGCCCTTTCAAAGCCTAAAAGGATCAATAATCTGTATAAGAGCGTTGGGTTTGTCCAGCCCCTGAGCACATAGATAGCTCACTGTTAGCCTAAATGCCGCAGGGGAACCAGTCTCTACTGGAGGACTGTGATCATCATCTGGTGGCATATATTTTCATATAACCTTTGCTTTCATCCACAGAATGTAAAGGAACTGCAAACAGGTCATCCAGATAGCATCAAACTGAGAAGCAGCCATTCATCCCCCTCCTGTCTGTTTTGCTTCTTTCTCTCAATTTTGCAATATTGCTTAAAGCTTCCCCCAAAAACTTCCTTTTATACTTCACCTTACCATGCGATATACAACTACTTCTGCACCATATAATAATAATTAAGACCTTGTGACCAGAAACACAAGACAGCCATACTTGTGAAAAGTGATTTTTGGGACTGTGCATTTCTCTCATAGTGATGCAATTTTAGTTTGCAAACAATTGATAATAAAGTGGATATACATAAAAAAAACTCTTTTCCTCATTTTGGAGTTTTGTAATAATCAAAAACCAGTCTGTCCCCCAGCAGTAAGCCACATAACAAAATGTGACAAAAAAGACAACATATTCAGAACTAAAGACTGACTTTTCATTAGGATGATAATAAAGAATTTAACAAATACAATGTTTTACATTTCCTGTTCTTTTAATAAAACACATCCCTTGCATAATATTGTTGTTTGAGTCATTGACTAAATCAGGACAGAACATACATATGTGTGTGTGTGTGTGTCATGCCTTGAGGGATGAAGGACTCAAGGACAGGTTGAACAGAAAAAGGTTGAAATACATGAACAGGGACTGTAAACAAACAGGATCACAAGGGATCAGAAACAGGAGGACTAGAAGGGCACAGGAAACAGGAAAGTACAACATCAATGACTGGACTGGGGAACACAGGACAGGGAAGCATGTATTTATGTCACAAACAAGGGAACTAACAAGAGGCAACTGGGAGTGATTAACACGAGGGCTAGGAATGAGAGGCAAGACAAACAAGTGTCAGGGTCACGCTGGGTAGGAGACAGGAGGGTCAGGTGTACATGGCGGGCAGGATGCGACATATGTATATATACAAGCTAAAATTACATTTTTTAATTCTTTATACTATACATCCTCATTAATGCTTATTTTTGATCTTATGTATTAATAGGGTTTTTTATTTTGTAAAATAAATTACATATTAATACATGAATAAAAAATAAAATGACAATACAACACTTACGTTTTCACAGATCCTTACCTAGGTAATCTGCACATTTTTAACATGGTAATATTTATTAATTTGAAACTCCCAAGAAATAACTTTTTTGTTTAACTTATGACATATTAAATACAAAACACATTCTTTTAAATTCTGATTCACAAGCAGGCATATTTATGTCCCACTGTAGGCTGAACTGCAGAAGGTGGAGTTGCCCTTGATGGAGTTTTTCTAAAACACCATCCATGTAGCACAAGTCATTAATCCATTGTTTTTGACATCTAATCACCTGAAGGTATTGTGACTAGTGAGATGTCTTCCAGAAGTTTAACTTATCAGCAAAATAAACCTGGGAAATCTTACATTCCCTGTATACATAAATATTTACCGTGTAGCTGCATAAGTAGCTGTTCCTGTTTAGGGAATTATTTGTCAGCAAATACTGAAAGCTGAATACTGAAAACATGATGCACTTTTACCTAAAGCAGAATAAATGTATGTGCATTTTAAGAAATATCACATGAGCATTGTCATAGAAGGAAATAATATTTAAGTGTTATGTTTTCCATATGCCCACCATAAAAGCAATGATTTGACAAAATAATTGCATCACACGCATTCGTTTTTAACGCGGAGAGACTGTAAGAGAACAGTTTGGCTCAGGCAGAGAACATTGCAGCTCTGACCATCTGATCATTGTCTAAGGAGCAGCTTAAATTTCCTGGCTGAAATTAGGGGGCATATTCACTTTCATATTAGCTCCATCCTTTCTTATGTAGTGTCAGGAACTAGGCGCTGTTAATCCCTCATTGTAGTTAGATAATAGGCTCTCTTACAGGCAGCATAGCCCACATTCATACACCGAGGGCTTCAGTTTAACCAGCAAATGCAGACCCCATTATTTATGTTTAAAACCAAATAAGATTTTACAAAAATCGACTCAGAAACCCTGCTTCATAATTCCTACAGCCTAGTGTATCAGTACAAGTCAAGGTTCATTTGCAATTCAGAGCATCCAGTGTTTCCTTAATGTAGTTCCTGCCCTGTATTGCGTGTAACAGTCAGATCAGACTTTGAAGAACTTAAAATGTTCTGTACAGTAACTTTAGATTGCCTGGTTAAAATCAATATATACTCACATGCTTCTGTTAAGTTTGACTTAGTGATGATGGAAAGGCTGTTTCTTCATACTTTCCGTTTGTGGGAACTACCAGAAATAAAAACATAACGCTAACCCAACCCATGGTTAAATCTGCAAAATTCCCCCTGTTTTTTGTTTTAGTTTTTCTTGAGTAGAGGTGGTGCCTGCTGACAAAGTGAGCAAAAAATGATTCTGGGTAAAACAACAAATTCTCCAACAAATAATAATAACAATAATAATAATAATAATAATAATAATAATAATAATAATAATAATAATACAATAAGGTACCAGATCATCAATCCAGTTTTTTTCTTCAAACTGAGATCCCTTCTGACATTTTGAACACTAATAGGATACATCACAAAAGAAAACAAATAAATGTAATTATCTGAAATATTTAGGCAAATCAGAGTAAATGCATTTGAATGTTATGCACTTACACACACTCATTGGCCTTTGTGTGTGTTTTCCTCTACTATGATACCTTTAAGCCCAACGGCACCAGGAGGCCACTTGTCCCCATTTAGTCAGTACTGATTGGTTCCCACGCAGTGGCCCTACCTGTGCATTAGCTCAAAGGAATCCAGAACACCTTTTGTATCTGCCTGCCTTGTATAGAACTAATTGAATCCCTGCGGTCATTGTCAAACATGGGATTGTTGCGAGCATTGAGTTTATTCTTCATAACGGCGTTTCTGCCTCAGGTAAATGTGATCTTAAATTTCTTCATTTTAAAAAATGTACAGTTTTAAGTACTATGCTCTAAGCTAAGTTCTTTTCTTGCCGCTGTAATTTTGGTTTTCTCTTTTTTTTTCAGGTTCCCCGCACAGCGGCCAATTTGGGTACATTTTTGTCTAAATATGTATTTATAAGTCAGCTGTCGAATTTGTAAATCCATAAACTTTTAACTAATAGCTTTTTATAAATCGACATGTTTATGCATCTACAGTAATGTTATACAGTCACTGTATGTTTCCTTATATATTTTGCTGAATTTCTGATATACAAACTTTTATTAGTCTATCATATTATATTCATATAAAATATACATATTAAGTATCATTGGGATACTTTGATTTTGTTTTGAGGCTATATTAATTCTTAAATATTTATTAATAAAAAATCTCATAGGCTTCAAAACCAACATAACGATAAGCTACCAGGCAGCGAACATTTAATTAGACCGCGATATAACAACCGGTTACCGAACCTGGATGGATGGATTAATAGAATAATGATTTTGTTTGGATTAATAAACGTCTGCTTAAGGGTTTTCCCCCTCCATTGTTTCAGATTGCCCTGTGACGGCCATCAAGTCCACATCAGCGTCTTCGTTAACAGTGAAATGGAATAAATATATCGGTGCCACGAACTATTTCCTGGATCTGCGGGTGGTAAATGTTACAGACGTCGCCCCAGTGGTGGTGACGCTGCCTGCATCGAGCACAGAAAGGCTGGTCTATGGTCTCAGGCCGGCGACGACCTACAATGTAACTGTGAAGGTGTTTCAGTTTTACCACGTCAGGTGTGTGGGAACCAGCATAGCCACGACAGGTAATACATGATGGCACGGCCGAGTGTCGATGCTGACATCTCTTCCTCGTTACCTGTAACGTGTAATATCATGCAATACCCGTCGTTTGGCACACTGTTAAAACACCCTTAAATCCAATCTACGACACTGATCAGTGGCAGACAACCGTGCAAACGTACAAGAAACGTGACTTGTTTGAAGATTCATCCTTCCCTCCCGAACAGTTCCCGCTACCACATGGATCACCTCTTTAAAAGCAATATCGAGCACCGCTATCCGGCTGGAATGGGCGCCTGTCCAAGGCGCCGAGCGCTACTTGGTAACAGTGGCGTCCCCCGGCGAGAGACTCAGCCGAAGCGTGGAGGCGCTGAGCGCCGCGATCGGGGAGCTGCGGCCGGCCACCTCCTATAACTGCTACGTGTACGCCTGCAACGCCGCTGGCCAGGGCGCTGCCAGTCAAGTCAGGACCATCGTTACCTGTGAGTTGTAAATAAATAAATGAAATCACTGGGACAAAAAGAAGTACTAACATACCCTTTCCAATCAGTTTTTATTAAAAAATTATTATTAATCCCACAAATTTGATATATAAAACAATGACCAGGATAAGCGTTGGAAGACAGATGAATTGTATCATTATTAAATAATGATCTATCTCTGCCCCCTAGTGCTAGGCCCGCCAGAAGTTACGGGAGGCGAGCATGTAGAAGAAAGTACAGCCCGCGTAAGGTGGAAAGCCGTGGATAAAGTGCTGCTCTACCGGGTGACGATCGCCGACACCAGCGACTCGAGCGCCGCACCCGTTACTGCCAACGTGTCGGCCACCTACGTGGACATCAAGAACATCAAAATGTGCTCGGCCTACGATGTGGCCATATCGTCATACAACGTTTTTCTTCAGGCTGGGGACGCCACTCATTTTACCTACAAAACGAGCAGTAAGTTTTAAAAGGATTAAAGTTGATTTGCAGGCAGTATTTACTGGATAAAGTGTAAAATTTTACGCTTTTAGACATTTCCAGTATACTTTAATCACCTTCCCTCATTGTCTCACTCTTGCTGATTGTATCTCTTTAGCACATAATACAAATGTAAATATACTCAATTATTACTCAAGTACAAATCATGAACAAATATCATAACTGCATGATATACGTGATCCATTATGACTGATAATGATGAATGAACCCAGGATCAGTACCTAATCAATACTTAGTTTCTGGTTTATTGATATATTAAGCTACTATATGTGCCCCCACAAATAGTGTTACTGTTCTTTCAGCTACTTTTATTTCTTCTTGGAGAACAAAGAATTGCAGTTTAACTAATTGATGTTTCTGAATTGTCTATAATGTGTGATTGTGTGTGTGTTTGGGTTTGATGCTTGTAGTGTTTGTGTATAAGTGCTCTCTGACTGCCCAGGGTGTAGGTGCTCTCTGACTGCCCAGGGTGTAGGTGCT